ATATATATATATATATATATTGATTGATGCTTCGGTATTTAATGTATATATATATATATATATATTTTTTTTTTTTTTGCTTCTGACACGGATTCCTATGAAATCGAAACCACTTATTTCGGAGCCAACGTCAACTCAGAACGACTTGAGACACGGACCGAGCGCTCGTGCGGCGCACTCGACGCCATCGAGTCTCACGTGGAGGTGTGCGTGTTTCACGTCAAAAGTCCCCGCCTTGACCCGATCCCTGTTCATACGTGTCTCCATTTGGCATTCCGATGTGATGCATGGCATGACAATACGACATGACATGCGAGTCGACTGTCGGTTGACTTGGACCCGACCCAGGCAAACCAACCAGCAACTAAGATTTAATAATAATAGGAGAAAAAAGGTAAATATTTGGATGAATGAATTTTCCGACATTTATTTGTTTTTTCATACACTGCATCGTGCTTCATAGGAAAGTTATTAAAATCGTTGATTTTTCTTTTTTCTTTTTTGTTATAGATAAATAACAAAGTCCACATTAAGTGATCGAATTTTAGTATCAACCCTCCGGATGTAATTTTGAACCATCAATACCCATTAAGTAGGTTTGGTATTTCATCATCATTTTAATATTTTAAATATAAAAAAATGACGTAATAATTTTTTACAAAATAAAATTGAGAGTGGACCTTTCGTATGTGTTTTTAATCAATACCCATTAAGTACGTTTTGTACAGATAAAAGTGTTTTTAAAGACCTTTCGTGTGTGTGTGTGTGTTTCCCACCCATTGATTCGAAGCTTCGGTATCAATACATAGTCATGTCATGAACAGAATATAAAGAAGCCACTTCCGAGGTACTTTCTCTGGCTCCCTCCTCGCCTCCTCCAAATCAAGCCTTCGAAGGGCATCTCTTTCTTCCTTGCTTCCTTTCTTGCTTCCCTCCCTCGCGCGGCGACGAGGGCAAATCCTAGAATCTTTAGGGCTTTTGGAGGAGGATCGGATCGTCGGGATGGATCCCGAGCACACCTTCCTCCGCGTTCACGCCCGCGTCTCCGGCTCGCTCTCCCAGCTCCTCGGCCCCAGGGTACGGCTGATGCTCGAGTACGCCTGCCTTGCCGCAGCCGGCGCCCTCTTCTGCCTCCTCGTCATCATGCACATCAATTTCGTGCAGCAGGTCGGTCGGTGGTCCGTTCCCTCTCTCGGTACTGTCATCTTTGTGCTGTTTCTGATGATTTTGATCTGGCCTTGTATGGTTTGAGGATCTTGCACTGACCCTGTTGGTGGAGTTGTGTATTTGTCGAGGTAGATGTAGCTTGGTTGGATGAAGAACTTGTTGTGACGTACCCACCTTGTCAGTCCTAGATACACGGGAAAAGAGCTTTCAGCTTTGATACGAGCGACGAGATGTTGCTTTCTCTAGAATTTAGACCGGCACCGTCTCTTATACAGCTTTATTTTGTTTCAACTTGTAATGAGTTTAACCCAACTGAGCGAAATTTGAGTTCCTTGGATTTTATATTATTCCGATGTTGTTTCCAGTCTGAAACTAAATTCAAGAAAAAGGCTGATGGTACATTATAGGGAGCATCTTTTGAGATTAACTCTGATGGATAGACCATTGAATGAATTGTAGTATCAAGAAATTACTCGTAAAACACATGCCTGCTTTTATAGTATGGCATCTGCAAAGACTTCTATGGCTGGATAATTGTATAAATTCTGGTCCATTGTCTCATGATATGCCAACTTTATCAAAATTCTGTGTTCCCTCCAAGAGAGTCTTCTATTGGCTTCCCATTAACAATTAAACTCTTATTAATTTGTTGCCAAGAAATTGAACTGCCAAAGGAACTTGTTTTGTGGAGAAACTCTGTCACACTTGTTCATCAACTGTCAATCGCCTAAAAGTTCTGAACTAGCAAACGTATCTGTTGAATAAGCATGAAAGTGTTGGACCATCTTGGCCTTTGGAGATCATTGAACTTGATGAAATATCAACTCAGGACATTGTATGTGCTGCTTACCCATTTAGTATGGGAGTTTAGCCCTGATCCGAGTCATCTAATTATTGTTTATGCTTACATTGAATATGTTGCAGATAAATGTTTTGCTGAAGTTGCAACCTGTGTTTTGCTGTCTATTAAGCTTTGAAATTGATGTTTTTTAAAGTTTTAACAATCCCTGATAGGTTTCTGATCACGCTATCCAATGTTACACCAGTTAGTTCTATTTTAGCATCCAGATATGTATTAAATATATGTGGTGCAGTTTTATTTTCCAAGGATATATTGGAAACTTTATGGTTTTATTTGTGTATGCAGCCTGGGTGTTCAAGGGAGTTCTCTGGGCTTGAATTTACTGAAGCTCAGGTGGTCCAGATCAAGGTACAATCAATGTCTCTGTGGAAGTAGTCACCAGCATTTGTATACTTCCTTACGAGTCATTGATATGATGACTTGTTACATGGAAGCATTTTTCACTTGACTATACATGAAATTATCCCAGATAGCAATCTACTTGCTTTCCTTTTCATAACTCCTTTACCTTTTGTTCTTGCTTTTAATTATTCAATCAGTGATCATCCTGGAGAAGACAGTATAATATGCGGTTTTGGCTTCTTCATTCCTTAATGTTTTTTACATAGTTTTTGACTTCTTTCTACAAACATCATCTTTGAGATTTTGCACTCATGCTAAAATTTGACCTCTGTATTTTATATATTCTTGCACTCTGGATGTGCAGTAAGTACTGTCAGTCATTTCAGATAACAGGTGGTGGTCTTTGGACTCAGAGTTCAGCTGAAACAGAGAGAGTGTCCTTTCAGAAAGGAATTTTGACTGAGACTTCCAAGGGTCCGGAAATGAATGAAAATGATATAACAATTTTTTCTCCCAAGTTTTGGTCAAATTTTCTATGCTCAGGTGCTGCAAAAAGCAAATTGATTTCCAAATTTTGGAAGAATGATAAAGAGTTATTTGAGCCTCAGGTGGGAAAGGGTCCTGACACTAGCATTAGTAATTCAGTGTTGTGTGATTTGAGTATGAAATCAGAGGCAAAGGACATGCAAATTGGGAAGCCTGTTTCTGTTGGCGAGTCACTTGTAGAAGCAAAATCACGGTTCTATAGTAAGTGGAAAATGCCAGTTGTTTCATTTTGGAGCAGTGCAAGTCAGTACTCAAGCTATGCCCTCGAATTATGGGTGAGAACAAATTTCCATTGTCATGCTTTTTCGCTTTTGTTTCTGGGTATAACTATTTTCTTTGGAAGGCAAGACTGTAAATTTCCAACTTCAGGATCATATCTGAAATTATGTGCAGAGATAATGAATTCATGTAACCAAGAATTTATATACATTCTTTAAATACAGTCTTACTATTGTTATTTGGCATACCTTTGGACTTCCAAAACATACAATTTGTTACCAAGTTCTTTAGATTTACAGATATGTGTTTCTTACTGAAAGTTTCCAGTAAAAGGAACTGTACATATTACTACTACCTTGAGAAATGGAGTTCTATATAAATGATACACAAAACATAATTATACTCTGAATAATTTGAAATTCTTCCATCTGGAATTTAAAATTCACTTTTTGAGTTCTAATATAAACTGTTTTTGGTTGGAAGAGTTTAACATATGAAGAACTACTTTCTTCTTCTGAAATTGTTTTTGAAGTTGTTCATTATGCACAAAAACTTACTAATGTTACACAAAACATTTTCTTTAAAGGAAATGATTTCTGCAGTCCTATTAATCTTGTTCAAAGAGTTTCAAGTGGTAGTTTTTGCCTTTGCCAAAGGAGGTACCTCATGGTTTTCCAACACTACTCGTAGTTATGAGGAGAACAAAATATTGTTTTCCAATTTCTGGATCCCAAGCTGAAATATGCTGAAAGCTGGATCTGAGAGGTGCCACCTGACGAACACCATCTTTTACAGCGGCATGTAATTGAGAGGTTCCACACATTCCTGCCACTTTCAGCTAGATTGTCACATGTTGCTTATCAGAGGACTAGGCTGTTTTCAGTAAAATAGTTTCAAACTCTTTCTGCAAAAAAAACATTAATAATCAAAAGTTAATCAAATACAAACAATCTAAGTATGACTCTGAATTTAATGGTTCTATGAGTGTTGAAGAATGATTGTTCTTAGTTTAGTGACGCAAGATTATTTTTGATTCACAAGCTTTTAACTGCAGAAACATTTAGGATGGAATGCATTCCTAAACGTCCCAAAGAGCTTTCGACCATTTCAGTTCAACCATCTTAAGGCATTTATGGGTAATGTTCCCTATCATGTTATTTATCATCATATTTTATTTTGGTTCATAGTTAAATATTTTTGTACTTTTGCCATTTGAAGTGATAAAAACATCCTTATGTTTGCTGTTTGTCAATTACAAGCATGTGGATTGTGTGCATCTTCAAATGCTATTCACCTCATGTTTTCTCTATCGTGTTTATTAGTATGATCAAGATCATAAGCTTATGCTGATTCAATTGTTAGACCTTGAACTTATGGTCAATTCTACTAGTTTTGTTTAAGTTGTTACCAAATATTGCAGTCCAGTGGCTTGAGAAGAGAAGCAAAGCGCAGGAGCCAACTTATCTGTACACTGTGGAGAAGGTAGTATGTTTCTTCAAGTTATCTTCTTTTTAACATCTCTGTCGTCATTACTGAGACTTTTATAACTTAAGCTTACAATGCCCTTTTTTTCACTGCTTTTATTTATTTAATCAGACATTTTCCACTATGGGGATCTAATCATTGATTTTACAGGGGTATTTCTTACTTCCTGAAGGGGCAAAATCTCAGCACCACATTCGCACGACTAATCTTACTATATCTGCTCAAAACTCCTGCTTCGGAAACAGGTTACCCTCAAACCTTTTGTTAACTACATCATTTGTTTGACTCCCAGAGAATTGTGGAGCTATACTGTATTAGGAAAATTTCTTTTGAATTATGATGTCTTGAGACTTGTTGTTTTTTTTTCTTTTTCAAATGCTAATTGTCGCTATTATTAGTGCTAACCTCATAAATCGAGTTCAGTCTTAAGGGTTGAACACACATGCGTGAGTGCACTTTTTGGTCTATGTCTATTGAATAATCTTATTCATTCTTTTATCTCAAGGATTAAGCACAGAATTTCATAGACAAAAACAAGCCTTCAGAGTTATCATGTATTTGTGTATAATTTTTGGTTTAGTGCTGTTACAGCCAGTTATATTCCTGTACAGGGTGATTTAAAACTGCAAATGGTTGGGCATCAAGGATTCTAAGGAGAATGTGGTTGGTTTTTAGGAACTAATTGGTGCTCTGAGGTGCTTTTTGAGCATACTTATATAGTTTTAATTTCATAAAGCTAGTTGACGTCCCACATTAAAGCCTGACTTTCTCTAACCAGCAAATTTACACATGTTGCATAAATCAAGTAGAACAAGTTAACCAAAATGACAGACTCTTCATCTAATGGATATGAGAGCTGAGATTCTGATGGTCACTAAATCAGGATTTTGCCGGATTAAAATAAAGTTCGGGAGATTGTAATGAACAACTTGTGTAATTCTGGAAAAAAAGTAAATCTATTTCAAGAAAATACCTGAAGATTTAGTTGCTCTGAAAGAATAGTATTCCAGTTGTAAGGCATCAACAACACAGAGTGGATAAAAGCATTACCCTGTTCATACTGGGGTGGTTGAACACTTGACACTACGGTCTAAATGGAACAACCTTACCATTCAAGGCCTGCCCTTTGGTTGTACTTTATAAAGTGAAATCAACAAACATTGCGTGCACAATACTTGATCTAAAATATATTCCTATAAAGCCAAAAATGTAGATCATCATGAAAGTTATGTCTCCCTCAAATATTGAGGCAACAAACGATGTTATGCAGGACATCCATTCATATTTCAGAATTCAAATTCAACATTAATTTAGCTGCAGTGATCAGCCACTTATTTGCTCATCCTACAATTCTTGAGCAGTAAATAAACTCCAAATGAGGTAAATATGGGAGGTTAATGTTGGTTAATATCATCTCTAAATAGTTGGGTGTTACGGCTTTGTTGTAGTTGTTGCATGTTGGTTAATATCATTAATCCAAATCAAAGAACATGTCTTCGATGACTTTTACTCCTTGTCATATCTAACATGACTACACAATTTGTTAATCACATTTAAAAGAGTATCCCAATGTTTCGTAGACTAATTGGTACCATAGTGGTTCCACGTATTCATATCTAGCTGGTGATGTCATTTAATACTCAGAAGTATATATAACCTGCTGTTCACAAAATCGCTACCCAGTACCTATTATCTTATCAACTTGAATTTGTTCATGATTTTTTCTATTTGTTAGAAGAATTAAAAAGCTAATGTCCGAAATCTTATGCCAATCCCAACATTGGGTCATTGTAATTCTGCGTTGGAACTTGGAAGTATTATATACTTTTTCTATAGATTATGATTGGAAGGATATGACAACAGAATTGGGTTAACAATGTCAAGAATGGCCATTCTGCTTCTAATTATATATTTCATGAGTTTTATAGTCAACTAGCAGTACATCATGAAATTTAACATCTTGGTTAAAAACATACTTTTATTTTGCTACATATCTTGGATTTGTACATTATTAATCATACTTAATCATTCATCACATTTGAAAAACCACAATAGAAGAAACTTCTCAGTATCCTGATCTACTATAAATCATAGTAGAATAAGAAACTCTGATACCTACAAACTTGGAACAATTTCAGTGATATGAGACTATTGAGTTGAGCCGTCAAAAAGGGAGTTCCACAGTCACTAAAAAATTTATAACTTCAGTAAGCTATCTGCTAACCAGCATTTTATGTGCTAAGGTCCATACTAGCCACGTTGGCTCTTTGCCAAGTCAGCATAATGTTGGCAAGTGTGACCAGCAAGGCATATTTTGATGCTGTGCTAGCTTGTATTATGCCAACTGAAAATAAATTGACACTTAAATTCATGTTATAAACATCATTTTAAGGTGAGAAAGATATGGCCAGCTATTAATTAGTAGTATATGTCCCTTGAATAGAGGAGGGTTGGACCAAGCATGTTTTTGTCAAAACCTTGATAAAAAAAAAAATTTGAGTGCCAGGTTAAAATTTCATAGACCACCTAAATTGCAAGTTTAACCTTCGCAATATTGGGCTATGCACATTTTCATGACACTAATCAAACCAGCCAATCTAAGTTTTTGTCCACTTCCTACGTGGGACTAAATTGGGGTGTTACAGTAGGCATGAATCAGCAGAGTATTGGGCTATGCACCACTGTGTTGGAACAGTTACTTGATTGTATGTGATGCATGCAATATTGCATCAGAAGGACAAGCACTGGCTGTAGTAGGATACTCCTGCATGTTCATCTCTGTCATGAGAGCATCCTTTTATCATATGTTGTCCTGTAACAATGCTTTTTTATTTATAGTAGAAGGTTCATTTAAACTGCTATAGTACTGTTTATCTTGTGATTTATTTTTTATTGTATGTCCTCACAGGTGGCAGCAACTTCTTATCAACACTTTTGTTGGTTATGATACAATTTTGATTAACAGCCTCTTAAATTCTCCTGGTCATGGTAAGAATTTTATTTTGTTGAAATATTTTTTCTTATTTTCATGTTTAATACATTAGTAATGCATCACATTCAATTCAAGTAACTGAGGAAAATACTGAACTGAGCCAGTTTAGTTCTTTTCCAGACTCATAAGTAATGCATATATGAGTATTATTTTATGTAACTTGAATCCATGGTCTTCTACTTGCATTGGCACATAATTTTGTGACCTTCATGTCTAGGCATGTTTTTGAGCCATATAAAGTAAATGTCGTTTTGATGCTAGGAAAGCATACTTCCCACTTCGTAGAAGTTGGGCTTCTGCTTTTCTTTTTCTGGAAACAAATGAATTCTGGTTATTGCCATAGGTGTCTTGCATTGATGGTAATTAATCGTTTCTTTTGTGCTTCTGTACTCTAATTACTTTAATGGACTTCCATGACTGTTAGCTTCTAGCTGGGGTTCTCTTTTCTCTTTCTTTGAAAAACAGAATACTATTTTGTAGATTAGTACAGAATTAAAACTACTAACCTGTTTCAACTTCTTTGTCATGTTTCATACTCCACTTGATATGAAGGTGACCAGAAAAGAGCAGACTCTCTTTTGATTCCTTATCACCTTTTTCAGATCTCTATGATGACTCTCCTTTTTGTGATTAATATGCCATGCTTGATCATATTAGATAATATAGGTACACAGAGGGCAATGGAGAGGGATTTAGAATCAGTGTCCTTATCAGTTAAACTAGTGGAAAGGAGGATAATATTATAGAATAATACATAGAAGTAGGAATTTGTTGCTAGCAGGATCAAAACCATGCATGCACCAGATTTCCTTTTCTTAATTAATCATGATTGTATCAAATACTATTTGTAATTTTGTATCATTTAATTTATGATCAATTAAATTAAATATGCTGAATAACAACTGAGATGGTCATTTTTCATTCTATGTGCTCTCCTTGAAAGATAACATGTTTTGTCATGATATTTGTAATGATAAAAAAAATGTAATTTTTATATTTTCTCAAGAGATAAAAAATAATAATTTTCTCACTTTTGTGATTGGATCAACAGAGAAGTTTTGTCTAGTAAGAATTTCTATGTATTTATATATATCTATTTGTTAACAACTACCCTTTAACTGGTGCAGGTTATCTATACAACTTCCAGACAAAGGAATTCTATAATCTTAGGTATGGGCAAGAACCATCAGAAGGTCATGCAAGATTTGGAGGTTTGTTAATTTAGTATCTGCTAGACAAATCTGTATAAAACATTTTTTTTATGTTTTAGTCTGTAATTTTTTTTATATTATGTTGTTTCCCAGTTGCTTGTTTGTTGAATTGTTCCTGTTCGTACTTTTGCTTTCTTCTCAATGGTATCAGTGCTTATATAATGCAATGGTTGTGTTGGCAGTTAATGTTGGTTCTACTATGGTACTTTCTTTCATGTTTGATGCTTCTATTAGCTTCATAAAAGATTTTATTATTGCTTTTACTGAGTGTGCCTGCCTAACTCATTATATGTAGCTTATAATACAACACTGGTACATGGAATAAATATCCTTTCTCCCTAGATGAAATTAGTTGTCTTGGATATACCTTTTTTTGTCTTACAATTAGTTTTGCATATGTTTGAACTAATTAATTTATGTCTAAAACAGAAAGAATTGTCTTAAATGAATGAATGTACTTAGTGATTCAGATGCTTGATTTTGGAATTTGAAGATTATCTTCAGTTTTCAGTTTGTTGAAGGTTTTTCTTTAATGGTAATTTTTATTGGAATCAATTTTGTGTAAAAGCTGCGACAGGTTTCATCAAGTTAAAACAGACTCAAGCACCTCAAAGTGTGAGAGAAATATGTACTTATTTGGTTTTAACAGTTGGATAATAACTTGATTTCATGTAGAATTAAGTATACGAGGAAGATCTAACAAACAGAAGTTTCTATAGGATCCTTGAGATGAAGATGAAGGTGATATATTAAAATCAGCAGGATTAAGAGCATGTTACAAGTATACAGACAATGGATTTATCTTTATGAGGGTTACTTTCGAAAGGTGTTCATTTTGAAACTTTAGATAATTGGAAAAGAGAGAGGAAGCTAGTGGCATTCTCTTCGACATGACTTGACATAATATAGGTCAGTGAACATGGTCATGAGCTCATTGCTGAATATTTTTACAACACCCTAGATTTAGCTTCACATCAGATGTGGGAGACCAATTGTCTTGGTATATTGGGGTAAATGAGTCTATCATCATTAATTTAAGTTTAAGAATTTTTGGCCACATGTTTCTAGGTCTATCAAGTTAATAGGTCAATTATCCTATCAGCACCCTAGATTTTTACAACACCCTAGATTTAGCCCCACATCAGATGTGGGAGACCAATTGTATTAGTATGTGGGGCTAAATGAGTCTAGCATCATTAATTTAAGTTCAAGTATTTTTGGTCACATGTTTCTAGGTCTATCAAAGTTAATGGGTCAATTATCCTATCAACTTGGGTTGTGACAAATGGTATTGGAGCTAACATAGTATTAGGCATGGTAAGGGGAAGTAAGAAAAGTGTCCCTATAGTTAAGGGCTAGATGTCATGTGCGCCATGGTAGAGGTTGATTATAAGTTATGTTGATCCTTTACAAAAATGTCAAATCTTAATTGAGGGAGATTATGACACTCGAGATTTGGTCTCATGTTAGATGTGGGAGGTCAATTAAATTGTTATACAGGTTAGATGGATGTACTACTATTGGCTTGAGCTTAAGCAATTTGGTCCACAAGGTCTTAGACCCATTAAGTTAATGTGTTAGTTGTCCCATTGAACCAAGTCATGATCAAGGTTTGTGATTTAATGTACCTATAGTATCTTGGTTAGGGTTCAGACTAGTAATGTACTGGTGTGCATTGAGTGTCGGTATACTGATATAGCTTTGGAAAAGTTCTGAAAAAATAAAAAAGAAATTTGTACCACCCTATACTGAGTGTTCCACATGGTTTACCATGGTCAACACACTGGTAGGCCATCAGACTGATAAATACCATCCATATTAAACCGTACTGGGTGGTATTGAAAACCTTACTCGTGACATGTATTTGTTTAATATCTACTTCAGCTCCTGTCATCATTTGTGTTTTATGTCAAATGTTCTGGTGTAATTTATATTTCCCTTTAGGAATATATGGGCCTTACAAGACTTGTACTAGTGTGCTTATGTTGCTATCTTTCTGCTGCTGTGATATGTATATGATACTGTGGAAAATTGTATGTCACTACATTAAGAACTTATGCATCTATACAAACATCTTCTGAATTTTATGGGATCACCTTTTCTGAATGCTTAACAAACGTACTTCTTTTGAGGCAGACTCTGCAAGAACAGCACATCCTGTCTAATTCTGTCTTTCCAAACTTCATCAAAATGTACAATCTGTATTTGCAGAAATTTGTATTAGCTTAGTTAAAAAATATTAAGGGACTGTTACATGCTTCCTTAATTAGCACAGAAGATTCGTGAGCTAAAAGATTTACCTGCAATCATGTTTGTCTGCAGTTCAGTTTCCTTCGCAAATTATTTATTATCTGATTTGTCATTTTTTAGGGGTCTCTCTCTCTCTCTCTCTCTCTCTCTCTCTCTGTGTTAATGCAGTATCTTTTTTGCTAAAACTAACTAGATTATTCGCCAATGCAGATTTCTTTGTCACCAAAAGTGGTGTGCTTATAATGTCATTATTTGTTTTCTTTACTACAACCATGTCAGTTTCATTCATTCTGAGGGAAACACAGTCGCGCATGCTCAAGTTCACTGGTTTGTTTCTTGTTCTTGTTTATAGTTACCTAAATAACTGTCTTTCAGCTTATGGTATAAGAGTTCACTGTAAATACTTCATTCACTATGGCAGTGCAACTCCAACACTATGCTAGCAATCAGCTTCCCACGTTCCAATTGATCTTTGTGCACATAATTGAGTCTCTGATATTTGTACCTGTAAGTAAGATCTCATTGCAACCATTTTTCATTTTGTGAACTTTGTGAAAGCATAATGTAGTTTGTTTTCGTAAAACATCTTATTATTACACTTTCTTGCTAATGCAGATTATGGTCGGTATCCTGTTTTTTCTGTTTGAGTTCTATGACGACCAGCTACTTGCATTCTTGGTTTTCATTCTTGTCTGGTTCTGTGAACTTTTCACTATGATCAGGTACAGCTACTCACTTGTGTTATCAAGAACTGCTGTTTTTGTTTTACTATTGCCTTAAATGCTTTTAAAATGCAAATCTATTTACTTCTACTAATAGCATCAACCTAGGCTCATAATACATCTGACATGTTGTGATAGAATATGGCTCCCCATGTTTGTGTCATAGCATGCTTCCTTGTCAGCACCAGTGTAAACATTTTGAGAAAGAAACAATCATTATTGAAAAAAATCTGCTGAAAGAAACCAGATGAAGCATACCTGATGTAGAACAGATTTATAATATTGTGTTTTTGGTTGGTTTGCAGTGTTCGGACAGCTATATCAGCACAGTTCTTTCCTCGGTTCTTCTTGCTCTATTTCCTGGTGTTCCATATATACTTCTTTTCTTATGCTTATGGTACACTCATCATATTTTCTGCTTTATTTTTTAACACCATTTAAGTTTATTTTCTTGGATTATTATATCATTTGCTAGCTTTCTGTTTTTTGTGTCAACTATCTCCAGGTTTTCTGTACTTGGCATTTTCTGCTACAGCAGCATTCATGCAACATTTGGTCCTTTATTTCTGGAATCGATTTGAGGTACATGTTCTGCTTGCTTTGCAAGTAGCTGACTCTGTTATAGATACAAGGATATGTCTTGGGTTACTTTCCCCCATAGACTCATTCTCATATAATGACGTTTCTTAAGAGATTCACTTCATAAACTGCACATTTACTATCCAAAGTAGGAAATATGCAAAGTTCCTTTACAGCATCATCCAATCAGATCACAATGTAGTTACATATTCGAGAAACAACATTCACAGAAACACAGAAAGAGAGAGTGTGCATAGTTGATAAATATCAGAGAAAAGATTAAATATTTGATAAATACCCTCATCTAGCTGAAGAAAAGGTTTAATATTTGCTAAACATCAGAGAGATGATGTGTGGGAATTCATTAAGTTTCCTGTTATGGAATTTGTACTTAAATGTACCTGAAACTCAAGGATACCATCAAACAGTTGGATATGATGTTGAAGCATCTGAGGAAGAGGACAGAGATAAAGTTCTTTCATTTTTGATACAGGAACTTGAGTAAAAAACCTGAAGAAGGCTGTTAAACCAGTTGCACTAAGTTTTAGATACCACTTGTGCTGTGACCCCTGAGAAAGTCGAAGCTCATAATATATAATCTGGTCATATATCACTTGCACTGATCTTTGTGTTATAATATCAATTTTCTTAAAAATATTGCCTTCAAACAACCTTACTGTGCGAGTTCAATGTTTGGCATCTCTTCTGGTCAAAGTCATTTTTGAGAAAGTTTATCATATGGTTCCTCACATGTAACTCATCTCCATTTGGAAGGAAAACATTTGCTAACTGAGAAATTAAAAAGAGATTTATGCTTCAGCTTGTCCTTTTTTGTTGTATTTGGTTATAATAATTATCCTATGGAAGTGACAAAAAAACTAACTTCATTATTATTTGCATCATATTTCTCCAATCCCTTGCAGGTCCCAGCCGTCCAGAGATTCATAAGAGCCAGAGCTCAGCTGCACCATCAGACCAGTGTTCAGATCACATCATCCACCTTGTACCACCCCTTGCCTTTCCATGTCACCGAACTGACCATGCCCAATCCTGATTTGATCCATAATGAATCCATGCCAACTCCAGATTCTTCCACAAGATCCAACCCTGTCGGATTATCTGATCCTACAGAAGGCCCTGAACCTCGACCAGCTTCAGATCTAAGTTCTCAGCAAACAAGAACTACCTCAGGATCCAGCTCATTAAATCCATTCAGATATCTTCTGTCCTGGATAGCAGGTGGTGCTTCTGACAACTTAGTTTCCTTCTCCATATTCAGGAATTTCCGACTCCGAGGCCAGGTTTTTGCACAACAGGCCTAGCAAGAGAATGTGTCATCAACACAGGATCAAACCTAAGAAAGAAGGTTCAAAAAAGATAATGGTTCACAGTCCACAGAAATGTTCATTGGATCAGGAAAGCTTATGATACTCTTGCATTGCTTGTAGCATGCACTCCATTGTAGCAAAAGGGAATATATATATATATATATATATATATATATATATATATATATATATATATATATATATATATATAT